GCTCCTTCTGTTGCATGTCACCTACTCACAGCAAGAGTGGCCAGATGGCTGCTTGTCTGGGTTTTGTATAATACGAGAGGCATTTGTGTCTATTGGGTTAGATGCTGATCCTGGAAACATCTCAGTATCTGTTTTTCCTGGGTCCTTACACAGGAAATAGTTGTGTTAGTGTTTTCTTGGCATAGGCACTCATGCTGTGGGAACTGCGTTGGAATCAACGAACTAACCTTGCATAAGCCAGAAGCAGTTAGAGGACACTTCAGGGTGGGTCTCCTAGAGAGGGTATGGGTGAGGATCCATGTAACCATCTTACAGCATCTCCCCTTTCATATACTAAAAGACCTGACCATTATTTAAAGTGAGGACCTTCACTAGAACTGGGCTGCAGGAGTGAGGCCATATCTGAGAGAGGGCAGAGAGAAAGCGGATTCTCCTTTGCTCAGGTTAATAGAGGAGGAAATAGTATTTCACTGAGTACATAAAAGAGAAAGACTTCTGCTTCTCACTATGTTACTGCAAGGGAAGCTCACTGAGCTAATTACAACTCAAACGCTTGCCCATCTCTCTGTCTCCCAGCTTGGTACCTTCTTGCTACCTTCTGGCACACCACAAGTCATCCCAGGGTAGCATATTGCAGCAGTGTTGTCTGGATTTCTCTTCCTTGCCCTAACTGTACAGGGGACTAAGATGCTCTTTAAAGGAATGTCACACTGCATTTCTTTTTTGTATTTAGAATACAGTTCTATTCACTATCCAAACAGCAAAAGTAAACCTGAATCTCTGATCTTGCAAGGTTCCAAATAAAAACAAATAAAGAAAAACTTGTATTCTAACAGGCAAGTTTTTGCATGGTATATTTAGGCTATTGCCTGAGCATGACAGGTGAATAATTGTATGAGCTGCTTTTAGAGAACAGACATTCAGACAGAAAGGTCAAGTTGAGCTTTTGCTGGTGAGAGTCTCCTGTTGCCCGCTTGTAAGGCAGAAGAAAACATGAAACTGCAGCAGTTGACGGCATCTTCATCAATTTTAGGTGATGGCTGACCATTTATCATCTCTACCCTCTGGTTTTGCTTGAAAGATGAAAGTCAGGCAGAGACTCTGGTATTCAGCTAGTCACGCAGTTCCTGAATAAGATTGCCATATGTATTGCATTCGCTGTGGATTTCAGAACAACCTGCTGGCACTAGTAGGTGGCTCTCAATGCAGGAAAGCTGCTGCATGGGGGAAATTACCACCCAGGGATAGAAGATGAGAAAGCTTTCTATGAACAGCACAGTCAGTATGTAGCTGCACTGACTCTTGCCTGGCTGCAAGGCTTTAAGTACTACACTCAGCCTCGCTGTTTTATGCACAGCTCCGCTTGCGTTTTGGAGATGAGCAGCACCCAAAGATGGCAGCAAATAAGAGGAGAGCAATGAAGATGAGACAGAAGGCACTAATCACCACTAGCCCCCCAAGAGCCCAGTCACTTGTTACAATCCGTCTCTTCAGATCTTCCAGAACTGAGGACGCCTCTTGTACTGATGACATGCTGCCTTCCACCCTGCCAGAGTTAGACAAGAACAGCATCAGATGTTGATGCATCCTCTCTGTGCCCTGAGCAGAAACCGCCACAGCCCCTAAACCAACATGTGCACACATGTCCTTTGTGTTTGCAGGCTTCCCTGTTCCAAAAGGTAGAGTCACTCCTCACAGAATCTGGAGCATAAACCAGAAGGAAGATAGCGGAGGCCTTATTAGCAGTCAGATCTACAGAGAAGTAAAGCCGCAATCTTCCAACCTTCCAAGATTTTGGAAGCTGAGACTTGTTTTAATTATAGCTTATCATATTTTTAATAATTGAGTGTCTCTCCCAGTATGTTCAGTATGAACCCTTCATCTCTACAAACTGCACAGCCTACACATGAAAGACAGGTATTCAAGGGGAGAACCTTGTTGATACCCATGGAAAGATGTCTAAAAATGAAAGTCGGGTGCTCCTGTGAATTCTTAAGTCCAGTAATAATTTAAACTGGGATCTCAGTGGGTCATACACACTTGCTCTTTCACTGATACTTTGCATAATGACCCAACTGTCAGCTTTCTAAAGAACATCCAGCATCTCTTTGCATCTTGTGGTTTTACTAAAGCTTCCATGCTAGATGCTTCTGAAGTGAAAGGACAGATAGAGTATTTCTCATGCTCTCTCTCAAATATTACCGTACAGACCTAACTCAGGAAGAGAGGTTCATTATTTCAAAATGTTTAGGCCTCATTTGCTGCCTCTTATCTCTGCATCCTTAATATCTATATGAAAGGAGAGGATTCGATATGCAAAGTGTGTTTCATCCTCAACAAGTCACCTGTGACTAGGAGTACAAGCCCACATTTCAGTTTCCTGAAGCTTTTGTTTATTTCTGTGCAGCCAAAATATTCAGCTAATGCTTTGTTTTTTGGAACAATGGCAGATCACCTTGCCCAGTCCTTAACCAACAGGCATACAGAACAAGGAGGCTGTTCCAGATAGCTCCCTTTTCCTTTAAAAAGGAGGCAGCCTAAACAGAAAAGCCTCAATATTAGCTCAGCAGACCCAAAGCCAGAAACCCTGTGTGACTGTACACCCCAGAAAGTTCCTCTCTCTTCTCTAACTACAGTTAGTCTCCTGAAATAGGAGAGTTGTGTGCAGTCTTATAAATACCTGAAGCTGTTGTGTTTGTAGTGTGCACTTCCTCTGGTGCCTCCTCTGCACCTGCTCCAAAAGATCTTGGCTTGTGGCAAGGACCCTCTCACTGCATCCAGAGACTTGCAAAGCAAGGGTAGAAATTGCCCGTTTGTACTGCAGTAAATGATTAACAGCTGGCTTTCTTGCAAAGGTGTGGCTAATCTAATCAAAGGCCTTGAGCCTACTTAAAAAGGCTTAATTTACCTGTGATTTAAATGTTTTTTTTTCTTCTCTATGCCTGCATGCATCTGTTCCAGCCAAACCTTCCTAGTGCCTATAAAGGCCCACTACATCCTCCAAATGGAGGATACTGTGGAGAGAACGGCTTTGTTCCCTGGCTGTATCTGTACTGCAAACTCAGTTAAGAGACTGGCATTTCTAAAAAGAGACTGTGAACAAGGCTGCCCTCTAGTCCAAACTTCATCATGACGATTTAAGGAGGTAAATTCATTAGAGCCTTGCACTGCTGTTAGCTGTAATAAAATGGACTCACTGTTGCTTTCTTAACTGAGGAAGATCAGAGTGAAGGTGCTGCAAATTAAAAAGCTCCTGGAGAGAGGTGCACATATGGGTGGGAGGAGAAGAGTGTGATGTGACATAAGTTTTCTTCTACACACATACAAGCTAAGCAGATCACTTTGAAACCAGAAGGATGATGTTATTGAGTAGAAGCTATTCCACAAAGCTTTAAATGCTTCTGCTGGAGAGGCTGGCCTCAAGGTTTGCCTTGGGTTTCTCATGCGAAGAAACTACTTCAGTGGTCGTATTGTCATACTGAAGTAACTTTATCTCCTTGCAGTTACTTCCAGGCTCGCTCCAGCTTTTACAATGTGTACAGAAATTGCTGTGTTTGAAGAAGTCTTACCTTAGTCTGTGCTCTTCTGAATCTTTCTTTCCTTTTTGAAACAGAGAAAATACAGCCTTACTAGTGCTTGGGGTGTTTCAGGTCCCTTTATGTGGGTAATGGGTGAAGCCAAAAAGACCTAAGGCTTGTGTGAGTGGTGTGCACGGGCTCGGAGACTGGCTCACATTTTTCTAGTCAACAGAAACTGAAGAACTGCAGTAAAGTGAATGGAGATTTGCTGGGCATCTTTCAGGCCAACCTTATCTCTTGCTTGCAAGAAGTTGGCAGACCCCAAAGCAGCCAAACACTTATGCATATGCATCAAGTGTATGAATAGTCCTACTGAGTATAACAGTATGAAATGCTAAGCAGAGTTTCAGTGAGGTCCTGGCAAGTGTGTGGAAACCCTACTCTGTGGAGTCCCATGCTTGATGGCTGCTCCTCTGCTCCAGAAAGGCACCTGCATTCTTTAGAGACTTGCTTGATTTTCTCCCCTTCTCTTTTCTAACTCTGCTGTGTTTATCTTCTCCTTCTAATTCAGGAACTAACAGTGGTAGAGATAAGAGAGGAACCATTTCCTCTGTCCTCCTGCCTGGTGCCTGTCACTAGTTTAACACGTAGCGTGACTGGCAAGCAAGTATTTGTCACTTTTCACGTTGAGATAAGGCCTGGCAGCTCTAAGCTCGTTCCTAATGACAGCAGCTTGTCAGGCATTGGTGCGTTTCCAACTCACAGAGCTTCCTTCTGACTCTGTTAGCACAGGCCCATTCCATGCTGCTGAAACATTTCTCAGTGGGATCCTGTTAATTCCTGCAGCTGGCACTGTCTAGCACAAGCTAGGGAAGAAAGTAAGCTCTGTTCTTTCACAGGTCTCATGATATAATTAAGAAACAAAAAAGGTCTGTTAAATTGAGCCCATCTCCTGCAAAAGAGGGGTTCTGAGACATCCTTGATTGTCACTTGTCTGTAAATGAAATGAGAAAAGCAGCATCTCTGACAGGTTATGGTGTGATGCATCTCTGAATGTTGATTAGAGTAAATTGATGACACACTTGAGCTTATCCTACCCTAACATGCTTGTTGGGAGTGAAAGCTTTGAGATGGCCTAATAAAGGCCAGTGCTTTGTTAGTCTGCGCTTGCAGTAGCTCTGGGTATCTTTCTTTTATTGACAGTTGTCAAGTTGTGTATCAGATCTTTGCTCTCTTAAGAACATCCCTGTCTTCTGCTGGAAACTTTTTTTTAATTTAAAAGTAATGTTGTCGCCTTCAGAAGTTTCTTTTTTCCTTAATTTTTAAACTATCCTCTGTGTTGCTGGCTGCAGATTTATACCAATGCGCAGCCTTACAAAGGTGCAAAATACCTAAATATAGTTTCTTTGAAAAAATTAAAGTGCAATATATACATATAAATAAATATATATATACACACACACACACACACACACACACAGATGCAATGTTCATTTTACTAATCCAAGCGCAGGCATCAGAAAGAAGAGGTTTCTTTACAAAGTTTTCTATGTGTTGCTCCTCTGAAGTGTAAAGAGTATTTAAAAGCCCATTAAAAAACTTGATGATTCTGTTCTCTCTAGCTGGATGCTGGCTCTGGTATATACATGCGTAATCCCTTTGACTCTTCCAGGTTTAGCAATATGAACACAAGGGTAGAAGATGGCTTATCTACATGCATGTGTCCTTTTTATACCTTCTCTTTAAGGTGATTGGTTTCATGTTGTGGCCTATCTATTTTGGGCTGAAAAAACACCAGTGGCTTACAGAATAGGTGCAGTATGATGTTCTTCTGTTTCTCTGTCCCAGTTATGAAAGTCATTCCCTGTGCTGTAGCCTTGTACATAGGGAAATCCCTTTCTGAAGTTCACCAAAGTACAAACCAAGCATACACAGTGGCTGCAGAATGGAAAGGGGATTTATTTGCGCTTGTTAACTTCAGCTGTGCAGCCCAGTCTTGGCTCTGCTTTGTCACAACGCCAACTGTCAGCTGCTGCATATATACCCTGAAGTGACGCTCACCATACTGTGTGTCACTCCTGTGAAATGTCTTGGTGTATGCGAATAAACATACCTTAAGCATAATGCTTATGTCCACTAAAATAAACTGTACCCAGTGCAGGGAGTCAGGCACACAGGTTCTTCAAGTAAGGATATGGATTTGTGCATCTCCTGTGACTCCCATGCTCTGAAAGGAGCATTCACCTGCAATATGCAGAAAGAGCAGAACTCCTGAAGGATCTGAATACCACCTAGAGGGTGGGTGATAGAGAGCATGTTTAGTAGTAGAGCAATCAAATTAAACTGTACCATTTGTGAGTTTTCCCCTTTTGCCTTCATCTTACTGATTACAACTGATATTGCACATGATCGAATTGTTCTCTTTGGCAGTTTCACATCCTTTTAACACTGAGGAAAAAAAGCAGGGAGCATTTGTAATCGGCTGCACTCAGAGCCCCTCAGCCGGCATGTCAAGCTCAGAAGGTCCAAGATTTCTTGTGTTTTCAGCAGTCATCTCACCTAGACGTCTGTGCTCTGTTGTGCACGGCTTTTGAGAGAGCAGGTTTGGGCTTCATCCAAGAAGTGCTGAGCACGTGCACCTCCCAGTGATGTTACTGGGTTTTGCTAGTGCCCAGCATCATCCTTCAGATGAGTCACTTGTGAAGAGGGTAGGGGCTGCCTAGCCATGTGGCAGTTTGTGTTCTCTGCTTTGGCTTGTGACTCCGTGGTCACAAAGGGAATCCTTGGCTGGCCTACCTGTAAGGTTGTCATGGGAAAGTGTGTCTGTTCTCTTGGTAGCGTGTGTCCATGCATGCCCCCTACACCCTGGCTGAGGGAGACGGGGATGGTAAAGTAGCATTACCTTGGTGGTCACACCACGGAGCCCAGCAGTGGCTGTCACAGAAAGAATGAAATCCAGGCTGTGATTTCTGGTCCTCTGAGTCATATTCATTAATATTGTTATTGCCATATTCAATGAGTTAGCGTAGACAGTCATTCCCATGTGACTGAATCATGATGTCCATGCGTGTCCTTGGTCGTGTCATCTCTTGTTACACCTCATGGATGGGCAGTTGGGCGGACTTGGATCTTCCTACGTCTGTGGTCGGGATGTCCGTTGCAGCTACAGCAGCTATAGCAGCAGCAGCTGCAGGCAATAATCATCATCACCAGAACAGTACCTGGAAAGAAAAGCAGAAGATATTGATTTATTGATTCATGACATAGAAGGAATCACTGGAGAATAACCCTACATCTCCTCTAAGTTGTTTGATGAACAGCAGAATTAACAAAGCCTGGTTTCTTGCTGATTTTCACCCTGCGTCCTTTACCTTCCGCCTTCCAAGTTCCTCCCCTCTTGTATTTGTTATCCATTTAGCTGGACAAATGTCAGCACATATCAGGTCTTAGCAGGAGCCATAGGTGTTGGTTGCCTTGCTAGTGCCTCTCTTGATTGGCTAGCTGGCTGCTTGTAATGGTTAAGAGGCTAGTTATACTGCCTTCCCCACAGCGGGGACACTGATTTGGATCTCTCTCCTCTACCCAGATGTCTCCTTTTGTGGATACTTGGAAGAGATCAAAAGATAAAAGTTCCTGTTGCTTTGTCGAACTTGCTGAAATCAGCCAACAGGTTCAAAGATTCAGGACGGGCAGATAGGGCAGGCCCAGTGAAGAAAGGTTTAAGCAAGTAATTTTAGATTTGTTTCCAGTGGTAAATAAATAAATTAAGGAAATGGCAGAGGGAAATTCTTCTGCAACTGTAAAGAATAAATTACAATGACTATTGCATTTATTTCTGGGCAAGTGGAAAAGTGTCCATATAGGAAATGGTATATGTTTATCTGTAGGCAATACAATAACAAAAGTAGAGAATTTTAATAGTTATACGTTTTGGATTGAAGTTTACTTTCCAGACTGTGGGCCCAGAGTTCACCCATTACACACACAAAACTCCTGTCGTCATTACTGAATATTTCATGATCATAAGATCATGATCATATGTGCCAAGCTGTGTGGGTGCATATCTTTACCTGCCTCTTGTGGCTGTTTCTGTGATGAAATGCAACAGTTAGGTAGAGTTGTGTGTCTGGAATGGACGGAGATTCAAGTCTCCTCATAGTTGCATCAGAGAGGATTTAATTATTCAAACTGGCATTTCTGTGGCAGGTCTGTTTCTGAAGAGTGGGTGCAGTTTGCCCTTTAATGATGATAGATATTTGTGACTGAGCTGGCTTTATTTTTTTTTTTTCCATATTTAGCTCTGTTAGCATAGAGCAAACAGATACTTTGGGCACAGGGCTTTGCTTTGTAAAGCAGTGAGTTAACCTGCTGGTATTCTACATTAGGCATAATGGTCAGAATTGGGAGCGGTATCTTAGTTTGTCTGGAGGAGAAAAGGATGACATTTTTAATCCTTCAAAATGTGTAAGAGTGCGTGCATGTCTACGCATATGTGTATGTGTTCCTTAAAAGTCTGTGGATGGGCTGCCAGGTAACCAGCCCTGCGGGGAACCAGTTGTAGTTATGAAAAAAAGGAAAAAGAAGAAAAAAAAATCAGGCAGGTGTGTCTGTGTCTGAATTCCAGCCTGGGGAGGAGTGTCCACGGTGGATACACACCCTTCCTTCTGGCACTGCGCCTGGGAGCAAACTGTACCTCTTGGAGGGGAGAAGGCCTGCCTTCCTTCCTGGTTGTTTTCCCATTGTTTGAACAAACTTGGTTCCCCTTGCCGGAGCAGGTCTTTGTTGTTCCTTCCACGTCATCTCCACATGGCTGCCGGAGGGGTCTTGCCGTTACCAGAGGCGAATAAATACACTCATCTGAAGCATATTGCTTCCGCTGAACTAGGCACAGAAATGACACTTGGAGTCCCCAGCCTGAGCGTCTTTGCATGGCAGTGAGGTCCTCTAATGCCATTTGTCACAAACCATCTTCTCTGCCTCAAAACACTGCAGCAACCTGGGGTTGGTTAAAATACTGCTGTTGAATAAGGGAGCTTGGGGGAGTTATACTGCTGCCTGTCATATTCTGCATGTGTGCAGAGATGCACACTGAACATGAAAACTGACTTAGAAATTAAACTGGGCTTCAGAGCACAGTCTGTAAAACAACTGCTGATAACATGACCTATCAACAGAGACCAAGAGCAAGCTGCCCCTGAAAAAGAGCAGAGACATTCGGATGCCCCTCTGCCTCCACCGATAAACTCACCAATAAACAGAAGAATCACACAAAAGGACACAATCTCCACAGGGTCAGCCTTGGGCAGCTTCTGGAGCTTAAGGAGCAGCTTCTCACCAATGCCTTGCATTTCCTTCAGAAAGCCTTCAGAAGACATTCTGGCTCAACCTCTTCAGGCTTTATGCTGTAGAAAAAAACAAATGGAGAGAGAATAAAGCTTTTCACTGACTAATGCTAGGAAGCTGCCAGCCTTCTTATAGAGCTCACTGGGGATCACAAGTAAAACAAGTTTATCTGGTCTCAGTCCTTCCTCCCAGTAGCTAAGGAGGAGGACTATTAACTGTCTGCATGCTCTGGCACTGTTTTCATTTCAAAAACTGGCTTTGAGGGTTGTTTCGACAGTTGCACAGTTACACAAAGGCAAAAATAAGATATTTCTTCTAAAAGTACACCTATGCCAGCAAGCAGGGAGTTAAAACTGGACAGTGGCTGCCCTTGGCTTTCCCCCAGTGAAAATAATTGATTTTTTTTCGATTGTGCTTCAATTGTCTTCCAGAAAGCCATGCGATTCTAACTCAAATTGTGTTCCAAATACTGTATTCTGGTGGTACATAGGTTTCACTTGTTTTCTACTGAGTAACATACAGTAGAACCCTTTGAAGACTCTCTGTTTCCAGTTACAGAAAGCCTCTTCAAAAAGTAAGGTGCTTGCTTCAGCACCTTTTTATAATACCATTAAACTGTGGTTTTATCAACCAGTCTTACTGAATGGTGATATTAAAAGCTAAAGTGTGTGTTTACCGGGGACAGCTGAATGGTTTTCAAGGTTTTTAGAGGACTGTTTTATAATGCTAAACTAAGTGTAGCTTTTTTCCTTTTTTTTTTTTTTTTTTTTGGTTACGCTCTGTTCTAATGGAGTAATACGTAAGTTGAAGAGTGGATGTCCATCCATTACTGCTGGTGATGAGTAAAACAAAAGCCACTGAATCTACCAGGGCCATGTGGAGATAGTCTTTCCTGCCCTGCTCAGTAACGTTACACTTTGTTTAGTCTCAAAGAGAATGATCATCAGGAACTGTTGCTAATTGATGTTATTAGTCTAGTCAAAGTCAGATACCTCAGTTTCGCCGCCAATATTTGCTGTTCTTGCCTCCCTTTAAGCAAAGTTTTGCAAGGCACTGCAATGAATAAGCTTGCAGGAGAGCTACAGAAGTTCAAATTTTACTTCAGCCAGTAAGTGGAATAGAAGATTGTTGGGAAATATGCATAGTCTTGCCTAAAACAAACTTTTGGACATGCAGATGGATTAAGGCTCTTATGTCATTAAATTTCATTTCATTTATGTCACGCTTGTGCGTGTTGTAATAGTCAACACGGTTTTATGGGACTTAAAAATTGCAATTTAATTTCCTTTTTTTTGGTGATAACACAAAGGCAAAAGACCTAGACGGTGCTTCCAGAGTAAGCCAGCTAGTTCACTAGCACACATCTGGTTTGATTACTCAAACAAATGGATGCTTGGAGCTCAGTTTTTCTAAACACACTGAGGACTGAGAGAGACCTTGGATGTTTCTTTGCATGCTGGGCTTTACTACTACAGTGCCAAGTAAAATTACATTTTGTATGTTTATGCAATGCAGGAAGGGTTTTCTTTGTTCTTTTAAACCCAAGCTAAGGAATAAAAATCGGAACCAGCTGACTTAGGCATGGGGGTGGATGAAAAGCTAGCCCCACAGAAAGATCTCTGTGCAACTTAGCAGGGAGGCTTAGCTGTGGCCTTTTGCCCTGAAAAGGTCACTTCTGAGACTAGGGTTAAATAGTTCTTTCCGGATGATTGCCACACCCCAAGTGAACTGCTCCAGAAATTGCTGCTCTTTGCTTTGCACAGTGGTGTAGGACTTTGTGTCAGCAAGTTCCAACTTTGTTTCCATTTCAAGAGATGGCAGTGCAGGCAGGGGTGAAGCGATTTGTGTTTTTTTGCTCGTGGCTCTAGAAGAAAACCTTAAATATATATATATTTTTTTTATTTATTTATTTATTTATTTATTTATTTCTGGCTATAACATTCTAAAAATATTTCTTCCCCTTGGGGTATTTCTGCCTGCCTAGTATTTCTGCTAGAAAGGAGTCTGCTCTAACTTTTCATACCATGCTTTAGGCTGCACCAGGAGCAGCAAGTATAAGTACTAGCCTTCTTCAGGTTGGGTGTAAAATATAAAATTACTGATCAGAAGTGTACAGCTCCGTGTGGATTAACAGAGTGCCTAGTCTAAAACGATAGGAGCTTGCCTTGATTCTCTCTTCTCGGTAATGGACGTTCCTCTGCCCATGGTGCCTTATCTGGCTCTAAGTGAAGCAGTTTTTGTTCCAAAACTTGCAAGGAATGTTGCTTGTTTACCTCGGTTTGAACTTCTTCAGGGAGAAAGTTTGAATTGCAGTTGGTGGTGCAGGCTCTGATCTGCACGTGCTTTTCCACCCGACTGCACTTCTCACTGTATGCTGGCTCCAGGGGCTCGCACTGCTTTGGGATTTCTGCTTGTGGAGTGCAGCAAAAGGGTGATGAATAAATCACTTCTCCCTCCCCCGCCCTTTTTCCCCCCCCAACAAGTATAAAGCCGCCAGGAAAGCTAGGTGCGTTCATGGACTTCTGTATCTTCCATTCTACTTGTGACTAGTCTCTGCTCAGAACTAGTTTTGATCGTGATCTTATTCCCATCAATTTCAGCAGAACCAAGATCTTACTCTAAAGATTAGCATGAGGGTAAGCTAGTGCTGACCATGCGACTTCAGTTGTTTCCATGCGTCTGCCTTATCTTCCTCATCTACAACACAACAGTGATAACATTACTTACAGATTTCACAGTGGAGTTGTAAGAAATAATTCATTTTTTTCATTATGCTATGTTCAAGTAAGCTCCCAGTTGCCAAGAGCAGTAGATGCCAGGTGGTGCAGGAGATTTGGGCGAAGCAGTAACTGTAATGATTATTATTAAAATAGAAAAGTCTTAAAATGGTTTGAAACTTAGGGCTGTATGCCTTACTGACGGTTTATTTTCTAAGACTGGATTGTTGTTCTAGAGCCTTAGAACAGCCCCCCGAGTTCTGTTGGAAACTCTTGGGCTCCACACAGGTCCTGTGAGGTTTGGAGCAAACATAATTCTCTGCCTGTGTTTTTCTCATCTGCGAATCAATCCTTGCCCATTGTCCTTCCTCAAAAATACATCCACCGACTCTGTGCTCCTCCAGAGCAGATAACATGGCTGTTAAGGCAGTAAAGTCAATGGAACTTGTTATGCATTGTCAGACTAATGTCATTAACTTGCCATAGCTGCAGCCAGAGATAAAAAGAAGTGAAAATAGGGTGAAGGGAGGCAAGAGGACAAACTTGCATAGAAAAGAAAGTGACACAGTGCTGATGCCTTGTGGCAGGCAGTTTGGAAGTTCCTGCTGGGGTGCTGCGGCAGTCTGAAATCCGTAGTTTCAGTTGTTTTCTCTTGCTCTTGTGGCTGTTTTTTAAAAACATTTCAACCACCCAGTATTGCCAGTGGGGCTAGATCATGAAACCTCTCTGCTCCCCTCCATGTTGCAGAGCCAGGCAGGGGAGAGAATAAAACAAATCTTTTAATCTGGGTTTATTCCTTTTTGAAAAAAATAAGGCAGACTTTTCCGTGAGTTGTTAGCCTTGCTTGTAAAGAGAGAGCGTGGTAGTAATGCAGGGGGATGTCTGTGGCGTGCAGGTGTGCCGCTTAGCTGCAAGGATTAGATTATCATTGAAAACCGAAGAAGCACGTCTTACATTCAGGGCACTTGTAGAGTTAGATTTCCAGAAAGTGCTAATATTTGTTTTTAATGCATATTCACCCTGCTGTGCCTGCTGAATAAAGCTGTGAAAATTGCCATAATAGCACTGAGATTATCCTTCTGATCTGTTTTAATGGACTTGGGGCATACTGAAGCAGTCAAAGACGTTGGTTGCTCAGGCCTTCTGAGAATAAAGCCATTTATGAAAATGCCTCATTCTAGATATCCAAGACAAAAGCTTTGGTCAGGGTGTCTTGGTACTGCAAACCCAGCTGTACGTGGTAGCTTCTGTGCTTCAACCAAGAAAAAGAGCTTTGGGATGACTACAGAACATGGGTCCCACATCCCTCTGTCTGCCTTAAGCTACTCAAATTGCTATCAATATTTTGGAACCGATGAAAATTAAGCAGTTTTTTCCCCTGCTTTTGGTTTGGAAAGCTACATTCTTTCTGTGTGTCTGGGCAGGTGCATCAAAGAACTGTAGGGAGCGGGCGAGCTTAAATTTCCTGCTGGGGAATGAGACGCTTGTTTAGTCATAACCATGGTGGCATTTCAGCAGCCTATTTCAGCATGACAAACATGAATTTCAGTTTGTGGTTAAGCCTCAAGACTGGAAGTTAGGAAAGGCAGGCACTGTGCTGGGCCTGCCACGGGCTCAGCGGTTGTGTGACTTTGGGTAAGTCATGCCATCCCCCTTGCTGTGTGACTTCCTCTCTGTGAAGCAGCAAGATACATAACCACCATCAGAGGTTCAATTTACTAATTGTTTTGTGTCCAAGTCTCAAAATGGTGTGAGATGTTTAGACAGAAAGAAAGAAAGTCCCTGGTTTTGTTACAGTTACAAAATGAAATGACCTCTGCTTGCTAACTGCTTGTTATGCTTCAGTCACCGAGCCCATTTCGGATGAAAGTAGATGAACGTATGGCTTCTACTCTTGGTTGCTGCTTACCCAGTCATGCCCCATAGCGTTTTATTTCTCTTGATGTGACCTCCTGATTCATTGGTTTTACTGTACTACCCCCAAGAAGCTTTGCTTTCATGAGTCTGTTGCCTCTGTAATCTAAAACAGGAGATGAAGCTTTGGAGGGGGGAATCTGTTGGTAGTGGCCTGAAGCTGCCAACACATGTAGTGCTAACGCAGCAAGTCCCTGTGAAGGTGAATTTGATGTCCTCCACAGTGCCCATTCCCCATGTCAGCAGTACTCCAGAGACCTTATGAAGTTGAGCCTCCCTGAAGTGCCCATGAAAGCAGAATGCCAGGACAACATCTTCACTGAAGAGCTGTTTTTTTCCAGGGCTCCTTGGTTGTGGAGAAGCAAATGCTGTGTATCGTTCTCACTCAGACAAGTCAAATGAGTTGGCTGAAATTGGACCAATGCAGGGATGGGAAAGTGTCCATGGACTGCAGTACCTGATTTGGTAGGAAATCTCATAAGGCAGTCCCAGCCCTCACAGAAGGAGGGTACTGAGCAGCTGAAGGAAAGAGGATGTTTTTTATTTTGGTCTAAGACTTGAAAACAAGCTGTGACCGTATTTCTTAAGAACATGAAGGCCCCAAGTCTTGGCCAGTTCCTAAGCCTACCAACTTTGTTTTTGGTTCCTGAGACGTGCTTCTGATTTCAGATGGATAAGGTCTGCAGTGCTTCCTGTCCTTACAACAGTCTTGGGCTGTGAGGTGGTGTTACAGGGCAGATGCATTTTGGCAACAGATGCAGTAATCCCTGCATGATTGTTTATTGTTCTAAGTCTGTAACGTGCTTCTGAGAAGAAAAGGGCTATAGAAATGTAGCGTTATTATTGGTGCACGGTTTTCCCTTGTCATTGTCAGTACAACGTTTGCTGGCGTGACTGTAGTTGACCAGCCACATGAATCTTAATTGTGGTTCACAGGCAAGCCCTTTTTCCTAAAATGGGAGTGAATGGAGCCAGACAGACCTATAATCATTCCCCAGCAGATGAAAATAGTTCCCAGTATCAAGAGAATTCAATTTTTAACAGCACACACCCAAACTGGTAAACTGCAGTTGAATGTCATGGGAGAAAAGCTTTGACCTTGTCAGCTGGTCTGGAAAAGAAGGCTACAAATTCTTTCAGATGATAAAGCAGCCCTGGCTGGCTAGCCATTTGGCTGAAACACCCTGTCATCTCTGCCACCCACTATTTGGAGATTGGTTTTGAGGTAGCAGTGTAAATGTCTTTCCTCCCCTACAACCTAATATTAGACTAACATAAAAAGGTACTGAATGCCCTGCAATAACAACTTGAGGGTACCCATCAGGGGCACTGAGCTTAGAGTCTCTACACCTCTACAGAGCCCATTGGCTTTCTCCCCTCCATCTAACAAGCAAGTCCACAAAACCCCAGGAGACAACTCCTCTCTACCAGTCCCCTTTTTAAGAACTAGGGAAACCAAGGCACAGAGCCATGGTGTGTTATCCAGTGAAAGGAAAAGGTCAGTTTTAAAAATAAATCCGTAGCTGTTCTACAAGTGAACTTTTTTAGGCCCAAGCATCGCTGATGCTTGAATTTAGCCTGAAAGTCTATTCTGACATTAGCAAAATAACCATTTCCCAGCACGCTGACAGCGAAGTAACTGTGTGCCTATTTAGGCTTTGTAAATAGTTACTTCACAAACCTACTGGAATCTATCAACAGTTTGGTGTTTGAGGTGAGGCATCTGAAGCCCCACTGAGAGTGCTGGAAATACCTTCTCCATCTTCATTCAACCACCTCTGGGTCCTGTCCTTGACTGCTCGGTAGATCTCAGACATGGTATGCGTTTCTGAGTTTTTAAAATGTGTTGGTCTAATCTTAGTACAGATACCACTTGAGTGTTGGAACTCAAAACGGCAGGACACAACAGCTGCTTCCTCAGAAGAAGCTGTTTTGAACTGTATCAGCCGTAAGACTTGTGGCATGGTTGTGCAGGGCGGTGGTGGGAGCCTGCATGGAAGTGAGGGATGGTTGCTGCTCGCCTCACCCAGCGCTCTTGCGGTCTCTGCCACCCGGTACGCAGCTCTGCTCACTGGCCCTCCGCAGGCTGTGTGGGCAGTCTGCTGGTTGTTAAGGGTTTGTGTTATGGAAGAGATCTGCTGTATCAACCTGGGTTTATTTTGTACCTCTCCTCCCACAACCGCTTTTGCTTTTCACTCAGCCAGCTCAGTGACAGCTGTAACACAAGCCATGTCCTGCTTCTTTTATCCAGACATGTGTTTCATATTGCTTATTCCTCCCCCCCACATACGCACGCTGCTGTGGCTCGATGAGCCCCCAGCAGCCAAACCCATTAAGATTTTCTTTCGGCAAGGAAAACTTGGCCTGTTTCTCTGCATCCCTCCCCTGGCCTTCTCCCCTTGCTCTCTCCCTTTTTTTCCCCTAAACTTTGTTTTTCCTGCCCTTTCTTTGAGACACCATCTTAACTGTAACAACCAACCTATGGACCCTTCATTAGCAGAGTGGGAACTTCCCTCTGTCCCCTTTGAACCTTGGGCTAGACTGCAGGCACTTGGATCTTAACTACTAGGTTAACTACTAGGTTCTCACGCAGGCAATTCCAAGTCCATCTTCGTACAAGGTGTGCATCAGAAGGATGTGCCCTCCTTTCCACAAGAATGGGACTGGAGAGAAGTGGAAATACCTGATCCTTAACATTCCTCCATATGGGCACATATGGGATTGGGGAAGGCATCTCACCAGGAGAACTGGCTTTCTGCCTCTCTCCCTGCCTGTTTGTAAACAGCTGGATGCCTCCTGGAAGAGGCACAGCATTTCGGTCTGCCTGTTTGTAAACAGCTGGATGCCTGAGCTCCTCCTGGAAGAGGCACAGCATTTCGGCTCAGTGCTGGGAGCTGCAAGACTCTTCCGAACAGAGTAATTGGGAGAACAGAGTAAAACAGAACAGAATAAATGGGAGAAAATGGGGTCTCCCCACACCCAGCAGCAAACAGAGATGGGAGTGAGGCTGGAGGACGCCTTTCTATGGAAACTCAAGGCTGACAGTGGGTAGTTTCGTGTATCTGGGGGCTCCTTCTCCTTTTCTCCTTCCCTTCTCGGTGCAGTCAGGCCTTACAGTCTTCTGTTACTGTTAAGTAACCACAGACCATGGATGTGTATGTATGTTCTCTCTGAGCAGTGGTTTCTCATGCTGTTTTGAATAGTAAACCAGCATCTGTGCCTGATATATTAGCTGATTTTTTTTAACGCTCTCTTTAGAGGCTGCGTAAAAGTTTTGCATTTATTTCTCTTGGACACAGATGCTTAACTTGCACAGTATGTTAGTTCCCCGGCCAGTGTTTGTTTTTTAAGCTGTTTGCTTCAGGATTTGGGGGGATAAAGCGCAGCTCCAGGTGGGAGGAGCTCTGGGGAAATGCTGTGGCTGGCACCCACTTGGTTTGACATGCGTTCACCTGTGGTGGCAGCTCCTCTCTAACGGCACGTACGCTGTTTGTACAGGGCAGGGCTCTCGTCCGAACTAAGTACTAATGCACCAAAACACGACTGCAGAGAATGCCCCGTGCTAGACCCTGCTTATCACTTAAGGTCAAATTCTGTAACAGCAACAGAAAATAGCATACGGCCTTTCTAATCAGCAAAAAAGTTGCTTACTCCTGCTGTGAGCTGCTGTTGAGTGTTTGGGGTAGGAGCAATGCAAGGCTGCAGGCTGGGTCCTTTTGTTAGCAGTGCGGCTGCAGCATGGCTTTCTGGAATCCTATTAAAAGCTTTTCTCTCTCGCCACCTTCGCCCCTGAGTGTCCCCTGCAAATAAATTCAGGCTAGCAAGCTCTGCTCAATGGCTGATTTTGCAGTTCACCACACAAAAGAGCTACAGAAGCTCCAGCTACTTGCTAACTAGCTGAATGTTAAGGTGCTACGGTTGAACGAACAGCAGCAATAGCTCAGCCTTACCCCAGCCGTGCCACGGGACCTTTCTTCTCCTCTTGTTTTTCTGTCTTCTTAAACTTTCACGTCATCTCTCCCCTCATCCTGGCTTGTGTCTCCTTCCTCGCTCGGCTCCTCTCTGCTCCGCTGCTGACAGCCAGCTGTTGTCTCTGCCTTTTTTTTGTTATTGGTCGTCCTGGAGATACGAAGTTTCATGTTACATGTGTGCCAGAGAGGGAGGGAGGGCTGGCGGCGAGGAGCCACCACAAGCTGAGCCGGCCCCTGGTACAAACTCCCCGGGGCTCCCAAGTGCCAGCACTTGTTGCTCGCTTCCTCTGTTCATCTCCTCCTAGCAAAGTCTCTTCTTTTTCCCTTTAATTATAGCTTTTTCTGGAGTGGGGTTTGAATTGAATCTCTCCTTAGCAATAGTTTGGGTGCGTGTTAAAACAATTAACTTTTCTTTATGCTGCGCAGTTTCCTTCCGACTCCCGGGGAAGGAGCCTTTCTCTTGCGTTCTTTGAAGGAGCAGAGCAAGAAATCGCAATGACAGCGCAGCGCAGTCTGCCGCGGACGGGAGCAGGGATGATGCTGCAGGGGGTGAAATCGCTCCGTGCCCTTGGCCAAGTCACTTACTCGCTTGTGCCTGGTTTTTGTTTACTGGGGACAGCTGATGCCCGCTGTCTTGTCTCAGAGGACTGTTGAAGTTCAGGCAGTATCAGAGAGGATGCAGTCCTTCAGACAGGTGCAAAATGATAATACCTCATCAGCGTCATAGTTTGCCTTTCTTTTTGATAGAGCTTATTAGATGGCTTTTGTTCAGCAACTGGCATCTACTTAAATAATTTGTCCTTGTATGATTTTTGTCTTTTTAATGCTCTGATTTCTTGGCTTTAGTCCAAGACTTGCTGTGTTTCCAGGGACCTCTTCCCACGAGGCTGGGAACCCTTCTTTGGGGGGGACACAAGAGGGAACACTTTTTCCTAGTGTATTTTGCTAGAGGCATGGCTGCTTTTAGGAGGCACGAGACTTTGTTTCTCCCCTGACGGTTCATCTGCTTGTACGCACTGCAGGAATAGGGCTACAGTTTTGTCTGATATACAACAGCAAGTAGTACCAGAAGGAGGCTTGGTGCAGACATCCATATGGTTAGTTTAGCACTTTCCTGAAATGTATTGCCACAGAAAAAAACACGTTAAACAGAACTTGATTGTTATCTGCTTTTCATCCTATCCCATGATGTAAAACTAGGGTAGGATCTCTCGAATGAAAGAATGATTTTCTTTTGATATTTTAAAGACAGATAGTCAGCTTATACGTACTCTTGTTGAAGAGCGGGGAAGGCAGCTAATAAAATTGCATGTTTAAAGGACTAAATAAGTTTAGGACATGCATAACAATGCAAACTGCCAATAATTAATGTAAACCAGATCTCCATCTCCCACGCATTATCAGCTGCTTCTATGACTCAGGAAGCTTTCCCACCGTGTGTCAATGTATAACTAGCTAGGTCTCAGGACCTCTTGCCTTCAGTTAAGCATTAATGAAGTGGCTCCTCAACATTCCTAACGGTGAACCTATTTGTGGCCTTTTGACACCTGTTTTGGGACTGCAGTCTCAGTTTTGCAGCTGAATTTCCTTTGTGACCCCACTCAGGAATACCATCACCTCAAGTGAGGTGGTGGCCCTGATTTGGGTAGTTCTTCATGAAGATACAGGCACTTATGGGAGGCTGGACCAAAATGGCTTGGTTTCACATGCTTGATAAGCCAGAAGCTTTAAATTCTAGTGACTTCAGAGCTGATCTCTGCTTCTGCCAAAACACTCCCTTGGGGACATCTCCCTTGGCTTTAGGGAACAGAGGTGCATATGGGTGTCTCTCCCCAGCATAAGCGTGGTGAGTAGGCAGTAGGAGGGGGGAGAAGGCCTGACCATTACTGTATGCCTCAGTTAACACTAATTTGGATGAGCGTGTGTGAGAGAGACAGGGACTAATGAGAATGCCAGCCTGTTTTCTTTCCGGGGAACAAAAAGCTGACTTGCAGCTCGCTGACATTTCTATTATCACGTTGCACTGGCAGGACAGGCAGCGCCAGTAGTTCTTTGGGAAAGTGAAAGGAGCTCTTTCTTTGAGTGCAAGAGGAGAGTGAGTCAGTGCCGCTCTGCAGGGGGATATAAAGCCAGCTTTGTAGTAGCCCTTTCTAGGCATTCAGGGCCTTACCCCGTGCAGCACAACGTCATGCCTGTTCCAGTGCTGCTTACCTGAGCAGTGCTGAGTCCGTCACACTTCAGCACACGCTTTTCTCGCTCCGGCGACGGTAGTCGGGGGGAACCTGCTGCTTTGCAGCTTCGCTCGCTCTCCTCCTTGGTAAATTAACCTCCAGGCCATCGGAATGAATAAGCCAACAGCCAGTGCAGACCTTTACAGGGTTTGTTTGTGATGCTTTGATAGACATGCAGTCATGTTACACACACACACACACACACACAGAAATGTTTTGCACACCAAGTTGCTAAGCCAACGAGGGCAATCCTTGGTAGAGAAGAAAAATCTCCACTTTGATCTTTCTTGCAGTAAAATAATTCTCTTTTAAAGTTACTCTTGTTGCTGCCTGGCTGCACGATTTGGTCGCTAAATGCCTGGTGAAGTAAGTGTCTCTGTGTGTCTGGTATCAGGATTTTAATTAAGAGAAAAGTGGCCACCTCTGCTGTGAAATCAAAGTTTTTAAATAAAAAAAAAAATTCTTCTCCGCTCCGCCAGCTTTCTGGAAAAAAATGACTACCTGATTCTTCATGATCTACCAAAATCACAGTTGTCTTCACTTGTTTAACTAAGGGGGTGATCTGGAAAAGAAATTGCTTCTTGCTTGTATTGCTAATGAGCATGTATCTGTCACTGATTTTTTTTTTTTAATTTACATAACCCAAAGCACTAATATCTGCCAGAAATCTTTGAAGATTCTTGGAAAAAGCTAATCATCTTCATGTGGCTAATTTGCTAAGGCTTGTAGGACTGGTTGTGCAATATTGTATGAGCAAATGGACTGGTTTTCATCACCAGTTTTCATGGATGTTGGACTTTAGCAGAGCTTTGACCACTGATCTGAAGCAAGTCAAGAACCCAAACCTCCTTTTCTGACTAGTGCTCCCTGTTAACCTTA